ACGTGTACAAACATTCAGGAGGACACAAACTTCTTGAGAATGCTGCCCCGTGACTTTTATTAATAAAATAGATTAAATAGCCTACTGGAGAGACGCACAGACGCAGGTAGGCTAATTCATAGGCAACTGTCACCTCTCTCTGTCTCTCTCTCTCTCTCTCGAATAATTAATTCAAGTAGCTAAATGTTATAATTAATTCAAATAAATGTGATTTTACCGCAGTATTTAATCTCTTTCTGATCTGAAGCGGGCAGAATGCTGAGCTAACGAGCTGTAGCTTCGCGTCAGGTGGTTCTTGCCTTCACGTCGTGCATTAAAATCGTTCAATGTACAGCTAGCCGTGCATTATCCCTTATGTATTCGCTCTTTAGCAGCAGTTTTTTACAGCAATATTTAAATGACACCCCGGTCATTCTTGGTGTACTCAAAATGGTCTCTGATAAGCACGTCATTTTAAGCTGGTGCACCGCTAGTGTAACTTTGTTTTCGTTTTGCGCAAGCTGCAACAGTTCCGTTCCGTGTAACAGAAACACTCGGTTTAGCGGAACCTTTACGATTAATTAACCGTGACGTTTTAAAGCGCGGTTAATCGCGAAACTGGTTAATCGCTGCATCCCTAATTAGGACTAATATCATTTTTCAAAATTTGTTTTCTACATCTGACCTTTGACCTTTTTTTAAGGGTTCCATCATTTATAACTGACTTTGTCCCATTAGGGTAAATTATTTTTGGCAAATTGTCTGAAACTTCGCACACAATGAAATGCTTTTTCACTGATCTGAAAAGAAGTGAAAAGGTCTTATTGTTTCAAAAAACATAAAAAATCTTTATGCACATTCCATTTCTTCTTGTACTGCTATATTTGATTTGGAACTCAAGTGTGAAAATATCTGAAACCTGACACAAATTTAGATGCAGTTTCACTGCCTGGAAACTATGTCTTAGTGTTTCAAAAGTATTAAAACAACTTTAACATTGTGTTTCATCTTGGAATTCCTAATCAAGTATCAAGTGAAAATCAGCAAGACTCTTCTTTTTCAGTGTACTCCACACATTCCACACGTAAATAGATTTTGACTCATGCAGCCACCATTTTTGGAGCATCCCTGCCTGTCAGAATAGTAATGCCAATAGACATTAACACATAGTGCTTTGAGAGCATGTCTCCTTTACTACCTTGTTGCCAAAAATGTGAAACACACGGAAAATAGATTTTAATTTTACTGGTTGAAGGGGATATCATATGACATTACTAAAATTAAATTTGATTGGTTAAACATTATTATTGTATTTAAAATGCAACTTCCTTAGTGTCATTTATAAATGACAATGTCCCATAGTGGGATGAATTTGATGGTAATTTATGCTGCCAAAGTCTACAAAGGACAAAACACCATGGTAGTACCATAAATGTAGCCCATATAGGTTATGGGCTACATTTATGGTACTACCATGGTGTTTTGTCCTTTGTAGACTTTGGCAGCATAAATTACCATCAAATTCATCCCACTATGGGACATTGTCATTTATAAATGACACTAAGGAAGTTGCATTTTAAATACAATAATAATGTTTAACCAATCAAATTTAATTTTAGTAATGTCATATGATATCCCCTTCAACCAGTAAAATTAAAATCTATTTTCCGTGTGTTTCACATTTTTGGCAACAAGGTAGTAAAGGAGACATGCTCTCAAAGCACTATGTGTTAATGTCTATTGGCATTACTATTCTGACAGGCAGGGATGCTCCAAAAATGGTGGCTGCATGAGTCAAAATCTATTTACGTGTGGAATGTGTGGAGTACACTGAAAAAGAAGAGTCTTGCTGATTTTCACTTGATACTTGATTAGGAATTCCAAGATGAAACACAATGTTAAAGTTGTTTTAATACTTTTGAAACACTAAGACATAGTTTCCAGGCAGTGAAACTGCATCTAAATTTGTGTCAGGTTTCAGATATTTTCACACTTGAGTTCCAAATCAAATATAGCAGTACAAGAAGAAATGGAATGTGCATAAAGATTTTTTATGTTTTTTGAAACAATAAGACCTTTTCACTTCTTTTCAGATCAGTGAAAAAGCATTTCATTGTGTGCGAAGTTTCAGACAATTTGCCAAAAATAATTTACCCTAATGGGACAAAGTCAGTTATAAATGATGGAACCCTTAAAAAAAGGTCAAAGGTCAGATGTAGAAAACAAATTTTGAAAAATGATATTAGTCCTAATTAGGGATGCAGCGATTAACCAGTTTCGCGATTAACCGCGCTTTAAAACGTCACGGTTAATTAATCGTAAAGGTTCCGCTAAACCGAGTGTTTCTGTTACACGGAACGGAACTGTTGCAGCTTGCGCAAAATGAAAACAAAGTTACACTAGCGGTGCACCAGCTTAAAATGACGTGTTTATCAGAGGCACGGAGGCTACTGCATGCATTAGATGAACTGTGACAGAGGGACCAAACAGCGAAGCTTTATTTCCACCAGAGTAATGCCTGTCGATAGTGTGGGATCATTTTGGGTACACCAAGAATGACCAGGGTGTCATTTAAATATTGCCGTAAAAACTGCTGCTAAAGAGCGAATACATAAGGGATAATGCTACATTAGCTGTACATTGAACGATTTAATGCACAACGTGAAGGCAAGAACCACCTGACGCGAAGCTACAGCTCGTTAGCTCCGCATTCTGCCCGCTTCAGATCAGAAAGAGATGAATGTGCGGTAAGATCACATTTATTTGAATTAATTATAACATTTAGCTACTTGAATTAATTATTCGAGAGAGAGAGAGAGAGAAAGAGAGAGAGAGAGGTGACAGTTCGCTGTGTGAATTAGCCTACCTGCGTCTGTGCGTCTCTCCAGTAGGCTATTTAATCTATTTTATTAATAAAAGTCACGGGGCAGCATTCTCCAGAAGTTTGTGTCCTCCTGAATGTTTGTACACGTGCGCAGCACGATCTCCGATCTCACAAACCAAAATAATAGACATGATTTTCTCAGGCCACATGTAAAATCATATGAATTATTATAAAGATTATTAAAATTAATACGTATGGATGACAGTTGATTACAATATTTCAGTTTATTTCCATCATTAGTAACAGTTTCCCCTGTGGGACAAATAAAGTTAATATTAGTCTTATATTAATAATAGGCTACTTCATTAACTTTGTTATTTACTATCCCTGTTGTAGTATTATTCATAAGTAAAAACCAACAATATTTTTTTTCACCATGTTTCCAAATTCTCTACCCCAGGACCAAAAGAAATGTAAAGAAGTTATAAACTGAAAACATTAAATACTTTTGCGATCTATTTCCATTTGTTATTTTCAAAAGAGAAATACCGTATTGGCCCGAATATAAGACGACCCTGATTATAAGACGACCCCCCTTTTTCAGATGTACCTTTTGGAAAAAGGCTTTTTAAAAACCAAATCTTGTTTTTTCTCACCAGCAATAAATAACACTTTAATATCTAAAGAGTGTTCATGTGATTTTATACATTAGTAATGTTGGGAAATTAGTAAATGCATAATAATCGTCATAATCGTAAAACCGTGATTATTCCTCAGACAATAATCGTACCAACAAAATCTATAATCGTTGCATCCCTAAAACACACAAAGAGATATTTTGAGGAATGTTGGTAACCAAACAGTGGCTGGTAGCCATTGATTTCCATTACATTTTTCCCTACTGTATGGAAGTCAATGGCTACCAGCAACTAAGTTACTAGCATTCTTCAAAATATCTTCTTTTATGTTCCACACGGGAAAGAAATTCATACAGGTTTGGAACAACATGAGGGTGAGTAAATTATTTTCATTTTTGGGTGAACTGATCAAAATTGTCATTTTTAGGTCAATTGTCCCTTTAAGGCTGTTTTTACTTGATCTGACCCTTGAAAATGACTGTCATTTGTGTAACACTTAAGTAAGACTTGTTAAATAATATTTTTGACTTGAATATAACCAGTTAGTTTAAATATGATCACATAAAGTAAGTTTGGAACAACTTGAAGGTGAGTAAATGATGACAGAATTTTAATTTTTGGGTGAACTATACCTTTAAGGTAATATTTTGCAGTGTAGATCATAAATTCATTAGTTCGGTCATTGCGCTCTTAAGTGTCAACAAATCTACATAAATCATTCATTTGCGTGACATAATATGTAGAAGATAGTGCTATTATTGCACAGTGGGAATCATACGCAATTTCATATGTGTGTGTTCCCAACTCGCAACCACATTAATGAAAAAAAAAATTGTCCTGTAAAAAAAAAAAAAGTATAAATAATAATTCTTTCTCTGTTCTCCGGTAAATTCTCAAATCGTGATTCATTAGTGCAATCTTGAAGACTTTACTGTGTGGCTGCCAGCCTGAGACAATGAATGACAGTGCATTTATTCCACCCGCACTTAGAAATATGTACACAAGGACAGAGGGTCATTTATGATGAACAACATCTGTTCCAATACTCAAATCAAAAAACACTTCTCTGTCATAATAATAATGTCTGGATTTGTTGACAGGCTCTAAATGACCGCACCCCACGGCAGTCCCACCCTGGTGACCCAACACCAAATAAACAGAGAGAGCCTCATTAATACTGCATTGTCCTCTAGAACACGCTAACAATGAAAAAACTCGTACCTTTACAATGGTGATCCTCTGATGCTCTCAGCTATTGACTCTACAGTTCAGCTCCCACTACTGCCTCTTGTGCTGGCTTCCCAAATTCTCTTTTTTGAGCTCTTCCTCTGATATGTCTAAAACAATCTTCTTTTCCCCCTGTTTAACAGAGGATCCTTTATTTGTTCCAGCGAGGTGTAGCAAGGTGTAGCTGGATGCCCAGTGAGGCCTGCTTGTAAGGAGGAAGGCTTCTTGGAGGAGAGATCTTTGAGTGCCCTGTAATGTAGAAGCCAAAATGGCTCTGCCGGCTGCCTAGAGCAGTGATGCTGAGACTGACTGAACCAGTGACATCATCACTGAGGAAGGCAATAGCCTCAATGCAGTAGAGAGGAAGAGAGGGAGAGGGGGATGGGGATTAGATTCCCTGCGGAGTACGATACACACACACACACACACACACACACACACTCACGCACAAACATGGCTCTACATAACATAGGATTCAGTGGCTAGTGCTGGACTGCATGTGTGTGGTATGTCAAAAGAAACCAAGTAAAATGTAATATGATTTTTAATACATAATAATATTTCATATTTATAAAAATTCACCTCTAATCATTTTAATTCAGCATCTGTTTGCATTTTCCAGGAAATGAATAAGACACTAAAAGAAAATGACACACACACACACACAAAAAATCATTACGAAAATAAGTAATGCCATTAATGTATCTTTATGAAATATGCATTACAGAATAAAATTAGTCCATGCTGGGTTTCCTTTAATGGCTATACAGAGTATACTGAAGGTTAAAATTTTGTCTCAAATTCTTCTTCTTATTATTATTATTATTATTTCCACTTCTAAGTTTTAACACTCCATCAATGCTTACGCTAAAGTAAAATTAGATTTTATTAATACTCTTTATTTACATTGTTCATTTCCTAAGGTTAAAATCTTGTCTTAAATTCTTGATGATAAAAAAATCTTAATTTTTATGCAAGTTTAGGGGTAATTGAAATACGATTTTATTATTATTATTATTATTAAGGAAGAAGGATTATTATTATTATTACAACTTCTAAGCTTTAATGTTCCATCAATACTTATGCAACAATGAATGAATGAATGAATAAAAACAAACAAATAATAAATAAATAAATAAATAAAATATTCAAGTCAAAAATGTTTTACTATAAATATATATTTTTAGAAACTATGGTTCTACAGTGTTGCTTATAACTTACAATATTTAACCATTGAACTTTTTTTTTTTTACTCAAGTTTTTTTTTTTTCTAAAAATAAATTGAAATGAATTGCAAAGATCTGTAAATAATATTTGACCTCATTTTGGCCTTTCTTTTGAGCTATCTGCCAAAAAAAATAAATCAGCTTTCCAGTGGGATTATTCTCAGCTCACAAACTATTAGAGCAAATTGAACTGTGCTCTCCCCACAAATCCAGTAAACCCATGTAACACATTCATAAAGGAAGCTTTCCCCACTGACATTAATCCACCTCTATTCTTCTGACTCAGCCTCTGTTTGCATTTTCTAAAATCAGGAACTGAATTAGACTAAAAGGAAATGACACAGTAAAGAAATATATCTCATTATGGAATCAGTATTAAGTTTGCCATTAGTGTATCTTTATACAATTTTTATTACTGAATAAAACGAGTCTATGTTGGGTTTCTAATAATCTGATAAGTATTTTAAGAGTACAAATCAATCATTAAAGTAATATTAACAAATATTAGAGAGTGAAATAGTTATATTTATGCAAAAAAAAAAGAGTTAAGGATAACCCAGCAGCCATGAATATATTTTAAAGAAGACAACAGAGGTTATTATGCATGGGATTCAAAGTCAAAAAATATATATAATCTTTTTTTTTTTTTGTTACATGAATTTTATTGGTTTCAACATTAAAGGTGGAAAAAAATCTGACATGATTTTTTTTTATCTTTTATACTCACTGTGCGTATACACTCACAATCAAATGCAAATATAAAAAATAAATATTTTTTATTTATGTAATAAATTCATTTATTTAAACAAGTGTATTAATACACAAATCTGGGTCATAATATGTATAATTTATTATTAATTAATATACTTTTTCTAGAATTAAGAATTATTTTATGATCATTAAATTTTTTTTTGCATTTTGACATTATTTGACAATCAAACACCGACACCCCCATTGTCAGTACTGTCATGTCAAAATATATTTTCATTACCATAATGAATATATGTAAACCCAGAAAACAACAAGCTAAAAAAAACAAATTGCCAAGTAATTAATAATAAATTATCAATGTATTTGCTGTATTGAATGTAATTTTTTCTAATTGTAATTTTTTTTTTCTGATTGCGGCTGAGTGCTAAGACTGTTTTTTTTTTCATATACTTATTTTATGCAACCATTTCTCTTTTTTCTTTTGATTTTGAATTGAAATGGGACATTTCTTTGATTTACTATGGGATATGGCCAGGCAGGAAGGCACAGTAAGCGCAGAGCAGCCACAGCATTCAGTTAGACACAATGCCAGTCGGAGCAGTCCCTTGTGGCTGCTTTTCTCTCCTTCTGTCTCTTTCTCCTTCCAAACCCTACTCCTCTGTCTCAGCTCAGCAGAGCAATGCTTTGAATAATTTATCCAGCTAAAGGAGTGCTGGTGTGGGCCTGATGCCTGATACCGTCTTAAAGGGACAAGCTTTTCACTAGAATTAATACTGCTAATGAACACATAATGATACAGGATAATGCAACCTATAGGTGTCCACAATACTCACACAAAAACAAATCTAATCCTATTACCACACAACATCCAGCTGTATTTTCAGTATGATTCTGCCATGCTTGTTATTTAACACTCTTCTTAAAATAAATTACTTGAATTACTTTTTATTAACAATCTGAATGTTACAGGTCAAAGAACTTTTATCTACCTGCTGACACTCGCATAAAGATCAATGAGGGAGGTACATTGACCTTAGAGTGAAAGCTTTTGGTGCCAGGACAGTGAAAGACAGAAGCTCATATAGGCAACATAAGATACATTGCAGACATGGAGCCAGGATCAGCTGTCAGTGCTGTGCGGAGCCAGAGGGTTTTGTGTGGAGAGGAAATTCGACCCGCAGTTATCATAATAAAGGAAGGAAAGATTCATTGCATTCTGCCTGATTCAGAAGCTTCCGTGCACACAGCTGGAAAGGTGAGCTAGACTGTGAGAGTGAGACATCTCCACCTGCTGGAGATCACAAGCATTGCAGTCCTCAGGTTTAACCCATAACGACTCCTGTGTGAAGGTTTTATTTCACTGAAATGATTGTAGAAAATGTTTCTGAAATGATTGTAAAAAAAAATTCAACTATGAGTAACTCAGTTATTAGTTTGGTTCTTCAATCAGCAAAATATTACAATATTATATTGTGATAATTTCACATTTTTTATAGAATATTTATCAAATATTTATATATAAAAATTTGATGGGGAGAGTGGGGCTAGTTGTCACATAGAAAAGTCAGTAAACACCTTTTTCAAAGCCTCCTTAATTTAGATTGTTTTAAATGGGAATTTACTAAAATACGCAAATTAAACTAGCTAAACTAGTAAGTATTAGTGGGTAAAAAGAAGTGAATTCAATAAAATTACACTGGCATTAAAGGGTCAATTATATTATAAAGGCAGACATAAACCAAAAGGTTGAATTATGCTCTTATAACAAATATATTTTTTCATAAATGTATTAATTACAATAGTTGTTGGTAAACAGAATGATTTGATATTTATCTGTTATCATTTTTGTTTCATAATTATTTAAATGTAGCTAAAAAAGCCTTTACAGTGCTGTTTATTGCAGGTTTCATTACGACAACCTGTCCCACTATTGTACAAAGTAAACAAACGCCTATAAATGTCAATATGTGTTCAATTAATTGTATTGTTGCCTAGCATTATTATTATTAACCTTTATTTAATCAGACAAGTCACTTAAGAACAAGTTCTTATTTTCAACAACAGCCTAGCATGAGAATTAAAATGGAGTATGCTTATTTTAAAATATTTACATCCCTAACAAATCAAGAGTATTTTTCATAAATTTCGGGTTGGGGTAAGATGTCACTGTTTTCAACTGTTTTAAATGTGTTATTTACAATATTTGTTGGTCAATAGATTAGGTTTGATATTTATTTTTAACATCCCTATAACAAAACAATTTAATTTAACCTCAAACAATTTTCATTCCTGCACTAACTAGACAGCATCTCTATAACAGGTACTGGATGTGGGGAACAGTCTGGTAATGCCAGGTATAGTGGACTGTCATGTTCATGTTAATGAGCCAGGCCGTTCCTCCTGGGAAGGGTACTGGACCGCCACGCGAGCAGCTGCTGCTGGAGGAGTCACCACAATTGTAGACATGCCTCTGTGTGTATAGACTTTCAAATTAAAATTCAATAATAATGACTGAACTGCTTTTCAATTATAATGGATGGTAGATCTGGAGAATCTATGAGTTATGAATGAAAAAAAAAAGTTACAATTCTCCCCCACTCTCTTGGATACTGTTTAGAAATAATATGATTGATAAATAGTTGATACATAACATAAAACTGACACGGTGATTCATTTCATGGTACACAGAAACAGCATCCCACCAACTACAACTCTTCGAAACTTTCATGAGAAGTTGCGTGCTGCTACAGGGCAGTGTTTTGTAGACACAGCATTTTGGGGAGGAGTCATCTCTGGAAACAAGGTATACTTACATACTGTACAAAATACATTTTAGTTGTAGCCTGTTGTTTTAACCTTTTAATATCCAAGTATTGTCACACAATATTGGGAATGCAAAAATAACATTTGCTATGCCATGTACCTCTATACAATATATCTTTGTGATTTTGGATGGAGCCATCCACTGCTTTGTACCTGAATGGGTCAGCATTTTTGAATGAATCTGTTGAGTACATGATTCACACCAAAAAAACATCAGCTGCCTCGAGATATGTATATGGCACTTCATTGAAACTAAGGGTGCTTTCACACCTGTAGATCGATTGCTTTGTTCCGAAACAGGGATTACAATTATTACAATGTTGCTTTTTATTCTTGGTGCAGTTCGCTTTCAAACGGTAAAGTTTCTAAACGGACCAAATTTGTTAATACAAGTCACGCGACAGCTTTTTTTTTGTAGCTGTCCTTATATTAGTTTATCATTTTGAGCAGGAGTCCAGGATTCATCGGGAAATTTTTTTTTAAATGCACCTACTAGGAAGAAGAGCAATAAGACGGCATTATAAAATGAACCCACAGACATTCACAGGTTCATTTTGAAGTATTAGCACAACAACAAAGCTAATGCTTTTCACGGAACTTACGTAATTACCCGAGACCACCTCGTTCAGGCGATCTCGGACCGATTGTTTTGGCGCAGATCCGGGCGCGATTGCCGTGTTCACATATGACCACAGATTCATACTACATAGCACACCTTTTTTAATGGTCGCAAAGTACGTACTTCTTCAAAATAAGTATCTACTCAAGGGGTATGCAATTTCAAACGTAGCCATCAACTTGTTTCGTTCCTGAATAAAACTTTTTGAACTAAT